CATTTGAAGTTTCATAAAATGTCCATGGTAACGCAATATCTTTGGTAGTTTTTTTTTAAGAGAGCATCTTTAGTGGAAAAACACAAAATCCTGTCACGACCATAACAGACGTTTAAATGAATATTAAAAATAGTTAATATTATTTTTATAACTATGTTTTGCTATAAACTAATTTACTTTTATGACCATTATACATTAAAAAGGTCACTGAGCTTTTAGTATATTTGGTCTTTCTAGAAAAAAATAAAAAACTCAAAAAAATTGAAAAAAGCCAATAATATCTTTTTAAGTTTGTATAACTCCGAAAAAACTTACCTGAGACCCGAAAAATCGTTATGTTTGCATAGAGGCGTGCTTCTTTTGTGTATAAAACATTGAAATATGACGATATTTTAATTTTTGAAATTTTTATGACAGAAATCATAAACGTGATGGTCAGGGACAAGCGGTACGGTCGTGAATTTTATAAAAAAATCTAAATCTTTCTAAACAATCCTTTAATTATACTATTAGTTATAATAAAAATATGTGTTTCAATTGAACTAAACTGTTCAAATTACAATTATATTAAAGTTATTGTCACGACCAAACACACTATAATCCATAAGGCTGGATAGGTCGTGAAAAAACCCGCGATGGTCGTGAAACTTTGGTCGTGAAATTACGTGTTATTTGGCTCTGTTCTGGCGGTAGCTCTGCACCTCATGTTCGAGGATACAAAGTGGACTTCTAGGTTAATCTAGCAATTGAAATATCTTATAAACAAAAATTAACACCATGTCTACTTCATCGAATGACTATGTACGGTCATGGACACACCAAAATTACAAAAAACACAACCTTTCCTGTATTAATCTTGTAATTCCTCCTTTCAACTCGAAACGACCGGCACTACAATCCTGACGTACACCCCGAACTAGTCTCTAAAACCAACTGACTCCATCAACGCCAGGCTTGCCACTGTCGTGCTCCAAAGTTGAAAAATTTTCCCAAATGGTCGTGACGCCAAATCGAGGGACAGACTTATTATGTCATGGTAGTCAGTTTGCAATGACAATAAAATTATAATATGCTCCTTTTTTGTAAGTTTAATAACCATTGATGACATAAAAATATGGCTTTATATATTGCTGCATGAATAATTAGTCTAAAAACAGCGTGAAAGTTGGAAAATGTACCCTAGGGACACGTCATGGTCGTGAATTTCGAGACTTTAAAAATACGAAAAAAATACCTAGAACCTATTTAAAACCAAATAAATGTGTGTAACATGTTGCCCCCATCCCAAAAATTATTAAAACACATAATAATAAACTACAAATCCAGTAGCTACGAAGTAAAAGGCCAGGGACATGAAAACGTACGTTTTTAAATTTTCACTCTGTTACAGTTTCTTGTTTAACAATACAATGTCACAAATGGTCCATCCAACACAGACTTATTTCAGTGTTATTGGCTTTAGTATATTAGTTCCTCCTATTTAGCTGTTTCACTTTAAACACATTTTTTAGCTATAGAAGAAATCAGGGACCTAGAACTACTTTGGTAAATTATCATATTGAATTTTAGCCTCCTGATCACATTTAAATATTAAATAATTGGTGTAAATACCTGCATTTATGTGATAAATGTGTTGCTAAATTGCAACCGGTTTCAACTCACGAAGGAGTCAGTCTAACACCCGCCCGATCACATCGTGTCCTGTTACCATTCTATTATTACCCTTCGTTTTTAACCCTAAATGTTTTTTTATGTTCGTGTACGTGTGCGTGTTAAATGTATTTATTTATTATGAATTGACAACCTTTGAATGATGCAAGAAGACATCTGTACTGGCCCGACAATGACTCCTTTGTGAGTTGAAACCGGTTGCAATTTGGCAACACATTGATCACATAAATGTAGGTATTTACACCAATTATTTAGTTTGGTACATTACTTAAAACACGATAAACCCTGTTTAGGTTTACATCCAATTGTTTTAATTTACGAGACTGACAAAATATGTATGGTTACAAACTATTGAAATAAATAACAATTTGTTTTTAACTATTGTCTATCCACATTATAAGCATTGCTGTTCTGGAACGAAAGCTGGAACTGACACTTTTATGATGACAATTACAGCAGCTACAGAAAATGTTCTCGTCCCGGAAATGCATACACCTTTAAATCTGAGGTCAGTAGGGAGGTTTGCTGGGTAGCATAGTTAGTGTAGGCTACATTATACTATCAATATGATAAACTATTGACAGTAATGGAACAACCCCGATATCAATCCATAGGTACCTAATTTCAATACATGTGATTACTTTACAATCAAAGTTTACAACAGCTGATTTTTACTCCCTAGAGACTAAAAAGGCTTTTTATTACAATTATTGTTGATTCCATTTTAAATTCAATAATTTTACAATAAAACAGCAATTTTGTTGATTTAAAAAGCATTGAAGTGAGATTGGCGGCCAATTCATACACACTGGTTTTGAGTACAGTAGCTACATACCACCCTCCATTGCACACTATCACTTACTGTACCTTATCTTACCATACTATCCGTAGCCGTAGCCACTGAAACCTTAAAGAGGATTCTGGCGTCCATTCTCTTCTATCCCATGCCTCTTCTAATGTAGATTCCAGTCTGGAGATGTCTTTCATTAGGCCTACTTGGTCTTTCCACATTATTCTTGGTCTTCAAAGTGGTTGTCTACCTTGTGGTACTCCTTGGAATACACGTTTAAAAGTTTATGCATCTTCTCTCCACCATGCATAGACTGCCCATCCAGGCCTTGTATTTCTGGAAAGCAACCCTATATTTGGGTGCTTATACATTTCTCTCAGCTCTCTGTTCTTTCTTATCTCAACCTCCGTTAAACTGGTCTGTATATTTTCTCTGCACTCTATTGGCAAACCCAAAGATAAGGTTTTTTGGTTCATTAGTCAGTGCCCAAGTTTCTTGACCATACAACACTATTGGGATGGTTACGGTATAAATCGATTTAGGTTTCTACAGACACCCTGCAGCTCATTGGACAGGTCTCTAGACACCACTACTCTTGTTGACATTTTTATTACTAACCAAAATTTTGGTATACCGACATACACACATTTGAACATCAAGAAAAGGAAGTATCAACACATAAAGCACTTGTATCTTTAACGATTAAGCAATAGTTTGCTGAAAAATATTTCCCAAATATGGGATAACACTTTCATGGCATAAGCTTGTACTTAGGTACCCAGTTTGCCTATATAACAACATTTGTTAATACGCACATATTTGAGATGTATTGTTCAAAATTACACATTTCACTATAATGCAGATCCTTTACGGTAGGAATAAAGCTACGTTTTAAAATGAAATTGTATGTAGGCAAACACCGACGATCAATATTTTTTCCAAACAAATAACTTGTAACATAAATATTTCGATGACAGTTTAAAACCAGCTGTTGGTTAATCCAGCACTAAAACAACTTAAAAATTGTTAGCATCGGCTGCTAGACTTAAACAAAAATTAGAACTTGATTTCTAAAAACAACTGAAACCCTAAGCTAAAATTATGGCTTCGACATTCTCTTCCTTTTAAAATTACCTTTCTTTTACTCACCAAAAAATTTTACCTCAAAGGGTTAACATGAAACAAAAATAATGAATATCCGTCATGTGGTTAATATAAAATCGTGAAATAAAAAATTCCTGTCACATTTAATATATAAGATAGCTCGATAGCTAAAATGAAAGCTAGTCTTTCACATAAGGTGCTTAGACCAAAACATATAGGATAATGTAATTATAGAACTGGTGAAATACATCTTAAACTGAAATAAGAATTAAAAAAATAAAATTTATGTTCTTTGGTCAAGTATTACACTGGATAAATTAATTTGATTCTTGATGGCAAATCTGTGTGTGCAAAAGTTAAATGTCAGACCAAAATTATAAAAAACATAAGCCGAACCGAGTTGGAAAAGAAAAACTAATATTCTTCAATACATAGATTTATTTATTATATTTAATATGCCAGACATCAGATTTTCTCTATTCTAATAACATTGAAGATTGCACAGTATCGTTAACGATTAATTAATTGCTTGGAAGACTGAATATAATATAGGTTATAGTTTTTAGTTTGCATTAAAATGTATTAAAAATATCATTTAATATTAACAAAAAGACTTAAGACCTGCTCTCAACGACCTTAAAAACATACCTAGTCTAAACAGTGCATCAGTCAATAAAAATAACTTCATCAATACAGACATTTTAAATGTGCAGAACACGAATATTAGAGTACAAACTATATGTATGAAAGTAAATGAAATAGAACTGACAAAAAATTACCAAACCTGTTTGAGTCATTGAGATTAATTAAAAATCAATCCAGGCAAATGGAAATTCGCTTAGTCGGCAGGTTTATTGCAGTGGGGGTATTTATGTTTATGATCCAAAAGTTTCTGTTCTAATATGCATGGTACAGAGTGGTATCAGTTACCACAAAACAAAACCTCATAATGACTAAACAATAACAAACACACACACAAAAATACAACATACAGTGATGCAAGAATTTAATTTAAAACATCTGGTATTTTAAAAAAACATCTAGTGTTACAAAAACCTAAGTTCAATCTATCTATATATTAATAGGCAAGCATGTTTCTTTAAAACCTTTTTTCTCAGCTCGTGTGCATCGTAGGGAAAATCTACGCATACCGTTGGAAAGCTATTTTCCTGTAGGTGTGCAGAATCCCTTTATAAATTTAAATAGGCTCAAAGATAAGCACAAAAAATGAGTTTAAAAATTTGAAAAAATTAACATGGATCTTATGCGTTGCTATGCTGGTTACGAAATAACAACGAAATATAAACAGAAAATCAAAACAAATGGAGGAAACTCCAATCACATGTTTTATTTACAGTGTGGGGTGAAAATAGATAAGTGAGTACATTACATATTTTTGGCCGAGTTTCGACCACTGGACGACCTCTCGTAAAAATAAAAATACAATTAAGTGATGCAAAAATAACAAAACATACATGAGAAATATATTATTTCCTACAGTTGTGTCCTACCTGACAAAGTGGGCTTCCTTGCAATGTTTATAGCACGCAAAGTAGCAAATTGCTATATAATTTTTTTGCCGTACTCCAGTATTCCAACCAAACAACACAAAACAGTGTGCTTTTATTATGCACGTAATATTTGTACGCTTGAAAATAAGTTGGCAACACTTAAAGATAATATGGTTAGTAAACACACGCTTGGATTTAACCTAACCTAAAAACGTGTTGTATAGTGTTTGAAAGACTAATATAGGATAAAACTATACTCGAATAAAACATAAAACATAAATGCGTTTTAATGTTAAGTATGTCGCTTTGTAATTATGCTTTATAGTAACTGAAGGACAAATAAAATGTGTAGCGCGAGTGCAAATTGCCTTTGCTGCACTTGAGTGTCACTTCCCACACTAGTTACACAAATAAATATTTTATTTGAATACAAAACTGGCTTCAGCTGGTCGATAAGAGATGGAATGTCTAATTCAGAATTCAAAAGTAAAAGGCTAGCCTATATGCAACTATTTAGAAATACAACACATGCATTAAATGCTTTGTGGTTTAAAATGGCTGTGGTTTATACTTAGTTCTCTTATGTATATGGGATAAGTATTGTTTTCGCCAACATTTTTGATTTTGGGTTTTGTTTGGATCCCCCTAAACCCAAAAATTGGTTTTTGAATTGATGTCTCTGTGTGTTTGTAAGTGTACAGAGCTACAGACCACACCTGTGGTCCGATTTTGATGAAATCTACTTGACCAATTGCTTCTAGCCAGCCTAGTTAAAAAACAATATGAGTTGTCTTGTGTGTTGCGTCAACTGTCCTCGCGACCCTCGTGAAGGCGTTCAGGTACATGAAACAACCCCGTGAGTCAGCGGAAATGTTTGCAGTCCGGTCTTCTCCTTACCTCCACCCTCCCACTGCCTACACTGCCTGTTCCAGGTCCAAGTGCCAGCTAACGTTTCACAATCATTATCTCCAGGCATTTTTTAAATTTTTTTAACATTGATTTTTAATCGTGATTTTTCTATAAGAAAATATAATATAACAAAAAATATAATTTTTACAAAAACAGCCTTATTGATCTTGATTAAAATTTCGTACGTCATAGTTCTTTTAACTCCAAACAAAACGGTACTGTTGTAAAAATTACGAATAAAAAGTTAATTTAACTTACGCGATTTTCCCATAAAACCCATTAAATAATGGGAAAATCTGACACAAAACAGATCGACTGATTTTAATTAAAACTTTCAAAAAATGTTCATAAGTGATAGCAATTTTTGTGATTTTTCCCATAAAATATCATAGTTACCCATGGGAAATGTTGAAAAGCATATGGGAGAAAGTGTGTGTCAGATTGCTGATACTGTTTATAATTAAATTATTTGAAGTACAGTACGTGTTTCTTGTAAGAAAAGGGATTTCCGCTACGCCTTATAGGTACATTCCGCTGTCACAGAAACATCGTCATCATCTTCTGTGATCGTGACAAAATCTTGAATAGCTACTTCGGTCTTGTAGACATCGTTATCATCGCCTCCCGCAATGGCAGCTAAATTTTTATATCTCCTGGAGTCACAGAAACATTGTCATCATCTTCCGTGATCGAAACAAAATCTGGATTATCTACCGTGGTCTTGTAGACATCCAACGTCATCTTATGCGGTATAATCGTGCTTTGTGTTCTTCTTGGATAGCGTAAGTTTTTTTATTCACACAGACCCATTAAGCAATTGTTCAACAACTGATAACAAAGTTGATAATTAACTTCAGAAAAAAAGCTTCTCTAGCACAAACATCACATGATGAAGATGGTATATTTTACAATTTAAATCACTAATACCGCCTTAGTACAACCACTTTCCGCAACAGTCATGAAATATGGGTGAAAAAATTATAATAAAACACAGCATTGATTCATTGTCATCATATAGATACTGTAAGATAAAAATGAAGTAAATACAAAAAAGTCAATGCTTATTTACTATCTGAACCGGACGGAACTAAAATTAAACTTGTCTTTTAAAAATCTTTAAGGGAGTGTTTAATCTATGATTAATCAATCAAAATACTACCTTCCACTATAAGAAGTATAGGAATGTAACATTTAAAAATCATAACATCTTCCTATGCTATTATCGACATTGTTTGCGATGCTGACTTAACGTATGTCTATGCCTACATTTATAACCACAACCTTCACATGTAAATAAAGCTTTACAGTGGACTGTTTCGTTGTGTATTTTTAAACTCGAAGGATCTTTATAAGCCTTGTTACAAAGTTTACAAGGATATGGTTTTCTATCAGAGTGAACATTTTGATGTCGCAGCAAATGATCACGCTTTGTAAATTTAGCTTCGCAAATCTCACAAGCATGAGGTCTCTTAACAGCTCCAAGATGAGTCAGGACATGTTTGGCAATGTCTGTTTTGGATCTGCATCCAAGTCCACAATCTTCACAAACATACTTCTTGTCAGCCCCAGTGTGCGTCTCTAGATGTCTGGTCAAGTAGCACTTCCTTTTAAACTCCATGTTGCAAATATCACAAGAGAATTTATCTTCTGTGCTGTTGTGATGCACTTCAATGTGATGCACTAAATTAGTTTTCGTCTTGAACGAACTATCACATTTAACACATTTGTACGGTTTTTCAGTTGAATGAACTTGTTTTCGATGATTGGTAAGGCCTCCCTTTTCTTTGAAACTCATGTTGCAAATTTCACAGTGAAAACAGAACTTGTTCTCATGTAGATATTCATGTTTCTTTAAATTTTTTTTGCTATTGGTTGAATAATCACACATATTACAACAGTATTTTTGGTTTTGCATCTGATTATGAATATTGTTTATATGCTCTCTTAAACCATCTCTTGTAGTGAAGTTCTTGCCACAGTCGTTACATACTAAAAAAACTTTTGAATCTACAAGGTCTTTACCATTATCTGCAACGTTATCATGGTCTTTTTTTTCTTGAACCTCTTCATGGATATTATTTATGTGTTTATTAAGACATAACTTAGTTCTAAAATCCTTCTTACAGATGTCACACTTGTAAGGCTTTAGACCCTGATGAATCAGCAAGTGTGACTCCAAGGAAGAAGACTGTACAAATCGTTTTCCACAGATATTGCAACGATATCTTTTCTCAGTATGATTTGAAGTGTGGAGTTTCAGTAAACTTTTCCTTGTAAATCGCAAACAACAAAATGAACATTCGTAAGGTTTCTCACCCGTATGTGTTCTTATGTGGCGAATGAGTATGTCGCCTTGTGGAAACTTTTTGTCACAATACCTGCACATGTATTTTCTTTCTTTTATATAGACTTTCTTTATCCGACCTTGTTGTGGTGCTAGAGATGTTGATGGTTTTTCAAAGGTGTCAGGAGCTCTGACATCACCTTGTGCTCCATAAACCCCCCGGGTATTATCCTGCAAATTAATTTTATAATGGTTATAGATGTTAAACAATATTAAACAGAAGAAATAAAAATTAACATAAAGGTAAATTTCAGTATAACATTTGTGCTCTAATTGTTACACAGTGTGGTGTGTGTGTGAAAGAAAAGTAGAGCGGATAATTTTTTATGCCGAATAGAGCATATGGTACAGCTAGGGCGATCAAGCACCAGATCAGAAAAGTGAGCTGGAGCCAAGCAGAGCTTACATTTTGCGACCAATAATTCACAAGTATGGAGGGTGACTATGATGTTTTCTACGATAGAGGGAGGGGTTCACAACTTTGCTGTTTTGCTTTGATGTGTGACGTTGGTTATGCATTCACGATGCTGATAGGGCCTGTTGATGTTATGGACAAAAAACTTGTATTGATGTGTAGGTCATCAGCATATATGGTGTAATAATTGAGCTGAAGTAATTTATGGCAAGAACAAAAAGCAGAGGCCCGAAGATTGACACCTGAGGCACACTAAAAGCAGTAATTTTTGCAACAGTGTGCACTTTTCTCAAGTCTTTGATTTACAGGGGAAGTGTGTTACTTGTTTTGACACGAGTGCTTTTGTCAAACAACTCAGTCCAGAACATACATGAAAATACAGAAAATAGCTATACCTACTACAGAATTATTTATCCTTCTTGTACCTTACAGTTATACTAACTCCAAAATCTTCCATTCAGATATGAAAATATTATAATCAAAACAGCTACCAGTGCGTTTACCCACAATGTTTGCGATGCCGACCTAATGTACGTCTATTCCTACATTTATAACCACAACCTTCACATGTAAATAAAGCTTTACAGTGGACTGTTTCGTTGTGTATTTTTAAACTCGAAGGATCTTTATAAGCCTTGTTACAAAGTTTACAAGGATATGGTTTTCTATCAGAGTGAACATTTTGATGTCGCAGCAAATGAGAACGCTTTGGAAATTCAGCTCCGCAAATCTCACAAGCATGAGGTCTCTCAACAGCTCCAAGATGAGTAAGAACATGTTTGGCAATGTCTGTTTTGGATCTGCATCCAAGTCCACAATCTTCACAAACATACTTCTTGTCAGCCCCAGTGTGCGTCTCTTGATGTCTGGTCAAGTAGCACTTCCTTTTAAACTCCATGTTGCAAATATCACAAGGGAATTTCTCTTCTGTGCTGTTGTGATGCACTTCAATGTGATATACTAAATTAGTTTTCGTCTTGAACGAACTATCACATTTAACACATTTGTAAGGTTTTTCAGTAGAATGGGCTTGTTTTCGATGATTGGTAAGGCCTCCCTTTTCTTTGAAACTCACGTTGCAAATTTCACAGTGAAAACAGAACTTTTCCTCATGTAGATATACATGTTTCTTTAAATTTCCTTTGTCATTGGTTAAATAACCACATGTATTGCAACAGTATTTTTGGTTGTGTACTTGGTTATGTTTAACTTTTATATGCACTCTTAAACAATTTTTTGTGGTGAAGTTCTTGCCACAGTCGTTACATACTAAAAAAACTATTGAATCTACAAGGTCTTTACCATTCTCTGCAACCTTATCATGGTCTTTTTTTTCTTGAATCTCTTTATGAACACGATTTATGTGGTTACTAAGATATAACTTAGATCTAAAATCGTTCTTACAGATGTCACACTTGTAAGGCTTTAGACCCTGATGAATCAGCAAGTGTGACTCCAAGGAAGAAGACTGTACAAATCGTTTTCCACAGATATTGCAACGATATCTTTTCTCATTATGACTTGAAGTGTGGATTTTCAGTAAACTTTTAGTTGTAAATCGCAAACAACAAAATGAACATTCGTAAGGTTTCTCTCCCGTATGTGTTCTTATGTGGCAACTGAGTTTCCATTTTGGAAACATTTTATCACAATACTTGCACATGTATTTCCTTTCTCTATAGACTTTCCTTTTCCGACCTTCTTGTAGTGGAAGAGATGTTGATGGTTTATTTAAGGTGTCAGGATCTCTGACATCACTTTTTGGTCCATAATGCCCCGGGGAATCATCCTGCAAATGAATTTTTTACTAGTAATTGCTATTAAACAAGTTGAAACAGAATAAATAAAAAAGAACATGGAGGTTAACTACAGTACAATATTTGTGCTCTCATGTTAACAGTGTCTCGTGTGTAAAAAGTATATGCATGGAAGCGGCTATTTTAAAAACCAATAATTGAAGCTTGAGCGACTGAGCCCTAGGTCAGTAAAGCTTATTTTACAGATCCTGGTAAGACAAAATCAATGATCGATTTGACCACCACTCTTCCAAAGGTTGGCTTTCCATTATGGATCAAGAACATAATGATCACTTCCAGCGACCATTTCTTTCACTGCTTGTCCAATTCCATAGCTCTTCCCATAGGGTGTATTTTGCATCAAACTCTCCTGCTACTAGGACTCCCTTCCAGGTGATGCAATATTTGTCTCGAAACTCTCAAGATCGCTTTCAAACTTTTCCAGTGTATCATTTCTGTAAATAGTGGAAGATTTATACTATCCAATCTTTGACCATCTAAAGTTCCATGTTATCTACTCTTCTTTGCTGATGATATTTCCTCGTTGCAGTATAGCACACAGCAAGAATGTCGAGACACCTTTTTTTATTTTCGCCAGACTGTAATTGGGAAGAAGCACCAGGTTTAAGCACCTGCATCACTTTACTGTACTTTCTGAATGTGCACTTCATACTAAACATTTTGTCAACTACTCATACCTATATAACTTTGTTCACCACTAAGTTGCTGTGTGAATCACTCAAGTGACACTGCCCATGCAGTTTCTAGATTAGGATAAGACTGCAGCATCCAATGCAGTCAGGACTTGTGGTGGTCAGGATAAACATTATTCTGGTTGAATGAAGAAATGTTAGGCCTATAGCTTAACATCTAAATATAGACAACAAAACTGCATCACTCTTTTTGTGGTTGCTAATGCATGTACCTAACAGACCTAAACCATACATTTAAAAACCCACATAAGCGTACTATTGAAAAATACATTATTGACCTCCATCATGCCTCTAGTGCTTTATGTAGCCTAGTGTGTAAAAGAAATGGATTAGTTTCTCACCTCAAAGTTATCCTCAGGATCTTCTTCATTAGTCTTTTCGACCCCGAAAAGTAGAGGTTCTCCCTTTTTAATATCCACTGTCTTCTTCTCCTTTAAGCTTAGGACATCTTCATCAATGGTATCATCCAATCGTTTTAACAACACTATTGGTTTGGTATCGCAATCAAACTTGGCAGGATATAACTTTTTTTCAAAAACAGCAACGATTGGTTCCAAGTACTCCTCATCTTCCTTTTTTATTGTTGGAACAATATTTTCAATCTTTACTCCAAATTCAAATATTGGTGAAATGATTTCCTAAAAAATTAAATAATGAAGAATTGAAATTTTGTTATAAGAAAATATCTTATGTTACTGTACTTGATTTAAATTAGGAATCAAATTTTGAGTAACTTAAACAGTCTACTAAAACCCCCACAAATTCATACTAACATGGCCAATAAGTTAAAATGATAATTATCCGCCTTGTCTAGTAATGATTGTCCAGTACTTTGTTTTAAAATGCTGGTTTTATGTGCTACTAAGCCCTATAACTTATAACTATATTAACTATAACTTATAACTATATTAAAAGATAAATACCCCCGCTGCGGCAAACCTGCAGACTAAGCGAATTTCCATTTGCCTGATTGGATTTACACTAAAATGTCTCCTTAAAAATATCACATTTATTCCCTACTAGCAGAGCACCCGTCCTTCGTACGGGGTTGGCATATATAAGTATAAAATGCTTATTGCAGTTATACTCAAGCTTTGCGTTTGCAATGGGGGGAGGATACAGTTTGATAAAATTTGGTTTATAGATTTACGGTTTGATATAGTATAACACATCTACCATTGCCATAATGTTCTACCACTGCACCTAAACAATAGAAAAAGAATAAATTATCAAACATTCGCACAATATCACAAATCTATAATATTAAAACGAAACAGTGTTTTTTTTATTTCACGATTCTGAATCAACCACTTGATGGATTTTCATGATTTTTGTGTTGAAAGAAAGATAATTTTGAGAACTAGGGAATGTCGAAGCCATAAATTTAGTTTAGGGTCCCAGTTTTTTAGAAATAGGTTTTAATTTTTTTAAAGTCTAGCAGCCGACGCTAAGATTCTAAACTAGCTTTTGGCATAAAATCTATATATTAATTTGAAACTGTTTTTCTTTGTCACAGCTATTTTGAGAGAACGGCTGGGCGTAGAAACTCGGTAGAGGTGTCTAAAGAAAGGTCTTGGTCTGTAGATGAGCCATCAAAAGAGAAACATGGTGAATTCCCTTGGGGCTCTGCCCCCGTGGCCTTTAAATTCCCATCCCATGTTATTCTTATGGAGGAAAACGGGGTTTTTGTCACAGCTAATTTGAGAGAATGGCTGGGCGTAGAAACTTGGTAGGGGTCTCTAAAGAAAGGTCTTGGTCTGTAGATGAGCCATCAAAAGAGGAAAGAGGTAAATTCCCTTGGGGCTCTGCCCCAGAAGCCTTTAAAGTTGCCTCTTCAGATTTGTTTACATTACGACCATATGCATAATTCTACACTACTTTTTAATGCAACAGCTGTTAATATTTAAATTGTGATTTATTGAATTTGTCAAAATGAAGTACAGTATTTGCAATGGATTTTTCTGATTTTAAAATTGATTTTCTTCTGCATCGTGTCATGTTTTGCAATATAATGTTCTATTACCAAATCAGTGGAAAATCCTAATATCACAGTAACTTTTAAAATTATTTCTTATGGAGTTAACTTATATCTATTGTATGGCTTGGTTTCTGCCTTTTTTACCACTTCTTGGAGATTGTACGTAGGTGATATTCTTTGGCATATTGCATCCGTAGATAAACGAAACTTGGGTTGGTGTAATTATTACAATGGAAAAGAGCGAGAAATCTTGGACAATTTGATATAGGCTAAAAATAAAACTGAATTAACACTGTGCTACATTTCTTGAGCAATCATTTAAATCACCGATTTGCAAACAATGGAAACATAGAAAAAGTCATAGAACACAACCAAGTAAAAGAAATAGAAATAATGTTTTTTTTACACTAAAAACACTAAAATACCCCCGCCGCAGCAAACCTGCAGACTAAGCGAATTTCAACTCGTCTGATTACATTTTTACTAAAATATTTCCATAAATAAGACATATTATTCCCTATTTAAATAACATTAGATTTAAAGAGTGCTTAGGTTTGCTGCTACGGGGAAGGTAAAAAGTGTTTTTTGACCATACGTCAATAGTATAGGATGAAATAAATAAATTTGCCAAATTTTATCAATATATACCCATAAACAAGTAAACTACAACAATTTTCATTTTCTCCATAAGAATAACATGGGAATTTTTAATTACAGTATTTTTGAATTTTCTCTGTGACCGTTAGGCATACAACAGCGCTTCAATATACTAAATTATTTCTTTTTTTAAGCTCTACAAAACGGTTTAGAAAGAAATCGCAAAATTTTTTGTTTTTAGGTTCAAAAATGGGAAAAACCCATTTTTACCCCATAAAACCCCCCATAAACCCCCGTTCCCATGGTCCGATTATGCTGGATCGCGAACTCGTTCGAATAAACGTAGGTTTACACGTTTGTACCAAATTTCATCAAAATCGGATCATTTTTGCTCGAGTTATCGCGCTAACGGACACATATATATATATATATAAATATATATATAAATATATATATAAATATATATATATATATGAATTTGAACGGATGGTGTTTTTGGCCTCTAGGGACCTCAAAATGAAAAATTAAATTGGTCTCGGGTCCAGGTCTTACCATGAGTACTACGGTAATAGCTTATTCCCTATATGGGAAATTCGCTAAAAACAAGATCAACTTTTTGAAAAAAGATAAGATATTCACAAAATATTTTGATTATATCTAACTGTTGTGTAGATCGTTAGTATTTCCATAATCTTTGAGTCGCCTGTAATGCTTCGCAATTGCTAGAATTCGAGCAACAGGTACACTAGTAATTTGCTTAACATAACAGCTGTAAACATTCAGCTTTTGTGTCACAAATTCAGCATTTGGATAAAAATGTAAAGACATACTTAGGGTTGACTTATTTATACTATGTGTAATGCTAATCATTGATACGTTCAATTCTTCTATAAGAGGATGACAGATTAATTAAATATACATAGTAAAATACTAGGATGTTTAAATTATTTTTTAAAGCAATCTTTGTAATCTTCGATTTGTTTTAGAGCAATATAATTTGTTTTAACTAACAGCAGGTTAAATATAAACTATGGAACTATGAGGTTATTCTATTTACTCTTATTTTGTCATTGATTATAGGAAATAAGTAAGATTAGTAGAGATAATTAGACCAGAGTTTAAAATAGTTTAGACCAAAATTAATTAAACCACAGTACAAATCGAGGCTTTGTACAGGAGTCTTAATAAAAAAGGATAAATGCAAATTATTTTACTGCTCCACTTTTCAAGGAAAGATTAGAAAAATAACAATGTTTACATGTTTTAATTCTTCATGGTAGCTTTTTGTTACAATTAATGTTTGTCTGCTATAACTTTGTTTGGATTAGGCCCGGAAATATTAATGTCATAAAAAGAAGATAAAGAATAATCAGGATTTTAAATTACCACCACAACCTCAGCCGGGTTTTATACAAAGATAAACAGATTAATGACATAGATTTAACATAACGTCAACATTGACCTAGGATACTGCAATTAGACAAACCATCCTTTTATGAAATCGTGTTCAGTTGTGGTTACGTTTGGGGGTGCCTATATCAGCACCTTTAAACGTGAAAATATCGGTTTTATTTCACCTATGAATATATTGTAGTTTAAATTAACTAATATGGGAAATTACGATGTACATTTATTCAATGAGGGTGGGTAATTATCAAGGATAGAACTGATAACAGTATGGATAATAAACATTGACAATTACGTCATTAGCTTTACTAGCGTGTTTTACTTTTTATATTCCTGCTATTTTCAAATGAATGTTATTTGAACCAAACAGCTGTTTCAAAACAAACTGTTATTGTTTTTACTTTTCTTTGTTTACACTTATTTATTTAGCAATTAATGCAGTGAAATTGATATAACGGTTAGGTGTGACGATTAGTTTTGATGTTAGGACACCAAAGTTAAATTCTGTGTACTGTGAATTTTATTGGATATTATCGTTTTATTTTAGGTTGTTTCTATTCAGACCTACTGGAAATTGTGTATAGTAGATGTATTATGGTGATAATAATTATGGAAGAGGCAGGTATGCTATGGAAGGTGGTATCGTTGACTAGGTCTATACACTTCTCAATTGACTATTACTCTCTCTACTGTAGGCTACTTATAATCAGTGTGCGTCTGTGCGAATCGGCTGCAAATCTCACTTCAACGCTTTTCACATCGTAAAAATTGCAGAATTGCTGTTTTATTGTAAAATTATCGGATTTAAAATGCATATCGTATAGGCCTATGATGGAATAAAAACATATTTGGTCACACAACATTTGTTTCCAAGATGATTTTCACATTAAAACTGCAAGAAACTTTGTCTTTATAAGTGTAAACTAGCAGATCTGAATTGTACACGGTTTTAACTGACTACCCGTATGTAGGATGGGCTAACACCTCGTTATACATTAAATTAAAAACTCAAAACTAACTGTAAACAATCTTACTTTGACAGTTCTCATTGTGTATCACAGCTTTTTGTTGGTGCTTAGTTCAAATTAGCTGTTTGTCATATATGCAAAAACAAAATAATAATAGTGCTGCACCCTGTTGGGAAACCTTATAACTTTTAAATGCTGCATATTATAGAACCAACTTGTAAAGTTGAAACAGCTGACTAAATTCTTTAATTCCCTTTAAATATGAATACTAATAAGATTAAAATGGGGAACTACATAGCCACTGGGGCGGAGCCCAAAAGGATTTTTGAGATCAAAATATGCCTTAATGTTATTTGGGAATGTGTGCTATCATCATGCCAAATTTCAGCCCAATCCGTCCAGTAGTTTATGCGTGATTGAGCAACACACACACAAACACACACACAAACTCACAAACATTCAGATTTATAATATTAGTAAGATTTAAATAACATTAGTTTAACAAGTACTTAGGTATGCTGCAACAAGGAGGGTAAAAAGAAGTTTTTTTGGGTAAAATGTTAATGGTTCAGTATGAAATGAATGCATTTTCCAAATTTGATCAAAATATGTTCATAAACAGGCAAACTTCAACAGTTTACTTAAATTTACAGATTTTTGGAATTTTCTCTGTAGCCATTGTGCGCATAACAACCCTTCAATATACTAAATTATTTGTTTTTTGTAAGCTCTACAAAATAATTTGGAAATAAATTGCTAAATTTTAAGTTTTTAGGATCTTTTTACCCCATAAAACCGGATAAACCCCTGTTTCCATAGTCTGATCATGCTGGTTCGCTAACTCGTTCGAATAAACTTAGGTTTACACGTTTGAACCAATTTTCATCAAAATTGGATGATTTTTGCTCGAGTTATCACGGTAACGGACACATATATAAATAAATATATATATATAAATATGAATTTGAACGGATGGTGTTTTTGGCCTCTAGGGACCTCAAAACGAAAAAGTAAATCGGTCCCTGGTCCAGGTCTTACCATGAGTATTACGGTAATAGCTGATTCCCTATAAGGGAAATTGGCTAAAAGATTTTTTTCTTTACCTTAGCGAATTTCTCATACAGGGAATAAGCTATTAACCCAGGTCTAACGGTAAAGCCGCGTTTACACCAGAGTTTAAAACTTTGTTCACTAACACTTTGTTCCTAATTCACTCGCAACTGTTCCTGGTGACATGAGGTTAGTCCTTCTCGAGATTACTACAGAAGAGGATGTTTTACTGGCAGCAGCGGTGTGTATGATCCAATCTAAAAAACAGAGACTGAAACGGCACTGGTTGAGACCGTCACTGCAATCCAGATCAAAATATACAGTGGCAATGTATACAATCTGTAAAATGATTTAGATAGGGATGAGATCGACCTCCTATCAGGAGAACTGCGGACAGACGGGAGTTTCAAAAACCTTATAAGAATACCCTGTGCTGACTGAATATTTTACCCTTATGGTTGGCCAGAAGTTCAGAATACCCTTTGATCTTTACCAAATTCTAGCAGAAAACAAAATTTCAATGTTGTAAACACTAAAAAAATGTTTCTCTTCAAAAAGTAGTGTTTCTTGGTTTGTTAGGAACATTTAGGCCTAATGTAAAAAAGTGTTCCGAACTCCGGCGTAAACACGGTTTAATACCTAGCCCCAGTACTGATTTACTTTTGCGTATTGAAGTTCCCAGAGGTAAAAAAAACACAATCCGTTCAAATTCTTAAACATTAATATTATATACAGGGTGTTCATTTGAAAACTTTGAATTTATTAATGGCGATTATTAAGGCTACTATGTTTATAGTTTATCATATTGACAATTTTAAAATTTAATTTTTATTAATCAACCAAAAGTTTGAATCTTAAAGGTCATAATCATATTGTCTTCACCATAATAAACAAATATTACAATAAGGTAAGGAAATTAATTAAAAAATAACAAATATACCTAAATAATAAAAGAGAATATATTTGCATTCAACACAATAAGCTACAACCATTAACAAAGCCAACGGAAGAAAAACAGCCCAAAATTCAAATTTCAAAATAAGCTACATGACAATAATAATGCCTTTTGAGTTTAAGATGATCGGTGCCAAGCTAGACAATTTTTTCCAGATCCACATGCCATTAGTCATTGGGCTATGAACTAATGATGTTATCTAACAAAAAGGTCTATGTTAGATACTGTATTAACAAGACCAGGGTTTGGATCGTTCCCTTTCAAAACGTAAAAAAAGCCATTGGTGTAGGAAACAAACAACAAATAAAATAAATTCCCCCACTGTAGCAAACCTGCTGACTAAGCGAATCTATTAAATTAACATTTATGTTAAACGAGTAGGGCCTACCTAGGTTAGATGCTACAGGGAAACTAATAAAGTGTGTTTTTTTATTAAAGTATCAATAGCTTAGTATGAAATAAATAAATCCGCCAAGTTTGATCACAATATATCCATAAACAAGCCAACTACAACATTTTATAATATCCTCCATAAGAATAACATGGGAATTTTAAATTAACAATTTTTTGAATTTTCTCCGTAACCAATCACCGTACAAAAACACTTTGGTATACTAAATTATTTTTTTAAGCTCTTTAAAAAGGTCTGGAGAAAAATTTATAAATTTTGTGTTTTAAGGGTAAATAAATGAGAAAACCCCATTTTTATCCCATAAAACCCCGTTCCCATGGTCAGATCATGCTGGTTCGCGAACTTATTCAGGTTTATCCCGCCTTACACATTCAAACCAAATTTTATCAAAATCGGACAAAAATTACTCAAGTTATCGTCCGGACGGACAAATGTATATATACAAGGTATACAAGGTATATACAAGAGGTTCTACCCGCAAATTCACGGGTGAACAGAAGCCACCATTAAATTAATTTAATCAACTTTGACTTTATATTTCATTTAAAGGGCCCAAGTTCGATAAATTGTCATCTAAAAGGATGTTAAAAGCAGTGGAACCTCATACCTTACGTCCTAGGTGGCCGAGGTTGTACCTGAACACGCAGATCTCTTTCACAACGTCTTTAATACTTTTCAATGAAATTGCGACTTGTTAAAGATCGGTGACAACCTCTTGGAACGAAGAACATACATGGTTTGTTAATCTCATATTCATTGTGTTTCGAACACATTTAATCACTTACTTGTATCAAACAGCTAGAAATAGCTTCACTGTCCATTTGCCGCACTTCACGTAAATGGACTAGACACTGGACTAGACATAAACTTAAAAGAAAGCATTAAAGCCAAAGATCTTACCTCCTTAGCTTCTGTTTTAAACTTAGCATCAATCTCTTCTGTGGTGTCCTCCATTTTGAACTGTTTCTGTGCTCAAGATGCGTAGGCAAACCACCTTTTAAAAATCCTGAAAAAGGACCCACAAAACCTCTTTTATTCAATGCCTAGGATTTAAACTACAACATCTTACTTAACTTAATACAAGCATAGACCAATTTTCCAAGAGTTTGTATGTAATACCTATTTAGGCTACTTTATAGCACTAGGCACCAAGAACAACACACACATAGCACATATGACAAGTACTGTAAGTTACTTGTTGAGGTGGTGTGGAATAAAGTTGCTAATAATTGATTTGTTTAGTTAGGTAATAGTTTCTCAGTTTCCTTTTACTTGAATTAACCGGTAATATCGATCAAAGAAAGTTAATTATATCGGTAAAAATAGGGCATGTTACCTGCTGCTCAAGCTATGAAATTGTATCACTGCGCAATACCTGCTGAACATCTATCATGCCATGTTCCACTGCCATGTGAGCTATGGCCTACTGCTATGGGGTCATGCTGTGGATGTTGACGACATTCTAGTGATACAGAAGCAGGCTTTGACTTTACTTTCAGTACTGCCTTGCCTATTAGTCCAGTAAAATAAGACATTTTGGTATGCAAAAGGTCGGGTAGTTCTGATTTTTGGATATGTTGTTAGTATTGGACCCATAACATAAAATCCAAGTTATCCACCTCGAGATACTGCCGCTCACCGCGGGGCGCGCCACTTGTTATCGAAATATAAAAAGTATGGCAATTCCTATTGTTTTTCACTCAATCTCGCGAACCGTTGATTTTACCGAAAATTTTATATTATTACATTAAAGAAGAATAAATCTGTGACAGTTTAAGCCCAACAGCAAGTATGTAGCGTAAATAATGGTCAAAATACAGACCATCAAAATAAATAAATTTTCCAAAGACGTATAAAAATTGTGGGTTTTTTCAATGTTTCCACAATATAGTTGTTTGAAGCAAACACTGTATTGATTTAGAGAGTATGCCAGTTTATTTGCTATTAATAGAAAATAAATGAAAGTATGAATAAAAATACCCCCGCCGCAGCAAACCTGCCGACTAAGCGAATTTCCATTTGTCTGAATTGATTTTCAGTTAAATATATTTTAATAACATTAGGTTTATCGAGTACCTAGGTTTGCTGCTACAAGGAAACTAATAAAGTGTGTTTTTGAGTAAAATATTCATAGCTTAGTACAAAATAAATAAATTTGCCAAGTTTGATCAAAATATATCCATAAACAAGCAAACTACAACATTTGACAATATTCTCCATAAGAATAACATGGGAATTTTAAATTTACAATTTTTTTAATTTTCTCCGTTACTAATAACCGGACATAAATACTCTTGTACACTAAATTATTTGTTTTTTTTAAGCTCTTTAAAAAGGTTTAAAGAGAAATTGGGAAATTTTGTGTTTTGAGGGTCAAAAGTGAGAAAAACCAATTTTTACCCCATAAAACCCCCCGTAAAGCCCCGTTCCCATGGTCCGATCGTGCTGGTTCGCGAACTCATTCAAGTTTATCCCGCTTTACACCTTTAAACCAAATTTCATCAAAATCGGACAAAAATTACTCAAGTTATCGCGTTCACGGACGTATATATATATATATATATAAGTCTATATATATATATAAACATACTAGAAGCTGTTAAGGCGACAGTACGAATAAGACGACAGTTACTGTCGCCTTATCAGCCTCAGGCGTGCCAACATACGTTGCGTGGCGGCTGATGACGTGGGGACTGGGATGGGATCTCTTGTTTCCCGCCGACTCTCAGTCTCAGCTGCCGGCCTGCCACTCCTACCCTACCACCGCGGTGCTCACTGCGCACAGTCGTAATCGGACATGGGAAACAATGCGTTTCCGGGCTAAAAGTTGCAATCTAAAGGAGTTGCCACTTTAAGAATACATACTGTTTACTATTGTATAATTTATTACCTATTATTTTGATGGTTTTCAAAAGTTTTACACTTTGTCAACTGACGTTGTGGTATGGCTTTGTCGAAAATCTGTTTATTGTTAATCTTTTTTAATCTTTTTATTGTTAATCTGTTTTTGTTAGTTTTTTTTGTAGTACAAAAAAAAGAATTTTCACAAGATTCCATACATAAAATCAACTTCCAAATTCAATGTTTCGTAGCTGTGCAGATTAGTGTTTATGATTTATTTTATAAAAATATCAAACTACTGTATTCATTTTTTTTTTTACTTTTGCTTAGTTTTAGGTAAGTAGCCTAAATAGACTCCATGTGTCAAATGTTGGGTAACAGTTGTATTCATATATTTTATAAGTAATCTACCCAAAGGCCAACGTCTGTATAACTAATGCATTGCTAAATGTTTTACCACTGGTATTTAGCTTTATGGTTTGGGGGGGGAGTTATGTGACTGTAATAGTGCCCACCACTGTCTCTTCTGCTGTCCATTGACGATTACGTGCTCGTACAGCGCAGTCTTATTGGAACGCCCGTCCGTCTACCTGCTCTTTACAGCCTGTTTAGGACTAGGATTACGAGTTCTGTCCTTTGTCATAATTTATGAATGGCCTTATTAGTCCTAATAACCCCAGCCCCAAAATCGTAGTTATTAGGATACAGTTTTACGCTTGATAAACAATGCCGCTTGAGATAGTCAACAATACATGTCGCATTGTCATTCCTCTGCATTTTGGGCCCTCTGCAACGTTTGTATTAAGAACAATATGTTTAAGGTGATTGTTGGGTTTTTATTGTCAAACATTTCCACTTCATCTTTGTACGATCAAAGGTTTTTCTGTAATCAATAGTGAACACCTTACGTGATTCACCATGTATGCCTATATACGACAAGGCCGAAGAGAACAGTCCTAAAACAGAAACTGTAGGTTTTCAGGAAAATGTAGCTTAAGAAGAAGAAGGAAACAGCGTATTACGAATACGCTTTGCTATAACTATTTCGTTACAGTAGTTCAGTAAACTTCATGTTTATGTATATTTCATACTCTTTGGTTTAATTGACTACTTGAATGTATTTGCCTTCAAACATTTATGTTCTTAATCAAGTTAAATTATTCTCTATTTTTCACATATGTTGTATTTTAAAAATACAACGTCACAAATATACAAAAATAAAAAAAGATAAAAATACAACTCTCACTCATTTTTCTCTTTCTTAACATTATACCTTCTGATCCTTCGAACTATTTCCCATGGCCCTTTAATTTCTATTCCTTTTTCTCAACCATTCCCTATAATATTTTTATTTACTTCTCTCTAATTCATCCATTGGTATTTATATCTTACTTTGAAATTTTTCAAACAGTAGTATTTTTAAACGCCGTTAATGTTTATAACTCATATACGCAAGCAGTTTTCTTTTCACAGTCATGACTCGATAACGGCCTGATGGATTTTAACGTTTGAGGTATCAAATTAAAGGCATTTTCATGTAGATGTGCAAATACGTCTCAGAACATTAAGAAAGGGCATTACGTAAGTATAGTTAAGGGCTAAATTTTGGGGACGGCAGCGCTATCTGTTGACATTAGATCAATCTCAATTCCCTTTGTTTACAACTAAACATATGGACGAATAGTTAAATTGATTTACCTTGCATCGTATTTTATCATCGTATTATGCATCGTATGTCTTTAACCTTCAATACTTTAGAAATAAAATAACGAACATTCAAAAACCTAATTTGGTGCGACTTTTTCAACGTTTTCTCCCAAAGTTTTACATGTTTAATCTATAGTTTAACTACATTATGTAATTTATTAAATAGGCTACCAATAATATTTTTTAGAGAATACGTCATCTATAAAACAACGTACACATGTTTGGATGAGGATATTTTTTCCAACTGTCACTGATGTATCTTATCTTACTAATATTATAAATCTGAAAGTTTGTGAGTTTGTGTGTATGTTTGTGTGTATGTTTGTGTGTGTGTTTGTGTGTGTGTTGCTCAATCACGCATAAACTACTGGACGGATTGGGCTGAAATTTGGCATGATCATAGATCACATTCCCGATTAACATTAAAACATATTCTCTTTTCAAAAATCCTTTCGGGCTCCGCCCCAGTGGCTCTGTAGTTCCCCATGTTAACCTTATGATTTTTCATATTTAAAAGGAATTAATGAATCTTAACAGCTGTTTCAATTAAACAAGTTGGTTCTGTTCTATGATGTTCAATAGCATCAAAGTTACATGGATTACCAACAGGGTGCAGCACTATTATTTTTTTTTAATTTATGACAACAGCTAATTTCCAACCAAAAGGTGAGTGAGCGTAGCGAACGAACTTCAACCTGGAGGCGAGTTAGCGTAGCGAACGAGCTAACCTGAAGGCAAGTGAGCGCAGCGAACGAGCTCCAACTTAAAGGTGAGTGAGCGTAGCGAACGAACTTAAACCAGGACGTGAATGAGCCATGCGAATACTTATGAAGTTAAACGGGGCAAAGCCCGCGGGTACAGCTAGTTTAAATTAAATGTTAAAAAAGGGAAATTATTTCCGATTACGTTTTGTAACCAAATCCACAACCAAGAGACAACGATATTGTTGTCTCTTATCTCGTGTGTCTTATTTACAAATTTAATTGATCCCCACTACGAAAGTGTGTATAAATTAAATTATTTAACTAACAACCGTCTCGAAAAACTGGGAATTCTGCATGTTTCAAATTGTACTGAACTTGAGTTTTGATAACCGGGAAGAAGGCCATGAATAAGTGTTTTATAGGACTGGGAAGCTTAAATTTAGAATTGTGTCAATAACCTAACACAGTATATAAAATTGTAATAAAAAACGTTTACTGAAAGAGTATAATGTTTTTTGTGATATAATTGAATTAATTAATGTAGTTAATGAGTTAATGATTTGTAGCACTGATCACCGATACTGTCAATAAGGGCTGAGTCAAGGTCAGCCATTATTAGCTCCCAAACTTCAAACTCCTAAAAATACGTTATTTGAAATTTTGTTAGATTTTCTTATATTGGCATACTCAAACATTTTGGTTTTCTTTTGGTTGAGTCCTAATAGCGAACAGTCCAGATTGCGAACAAGGGTAA